GTCTGTCTGTCTGTCTGTCTGTCTCTCTCTCTCTCTCTCTCTCTCTCTCTCTCTCTGTGTCTCTCTCTCTCTCTCTCTTTATGTGTATCCTTTCTTTTGGCTATCTAAAAATTCTCTATCTTCATAGTCATAGAGTGTGCATTTAATATAACCACACTGTGCCGAAGGACGACTCTCATCCAAATGTTTCGGTTCGAATCTCAGATTCCACCATGGAAAAGGATAAGAAGAGAGCTTACAGGAGTCATAACCATATTGTGGCAAGGTCCTCTTTAAGTGTTAGGTAGATAAGAGCTGAACCACTCACTGGTGGCCTCCTGTTGCCTGAAAACCCCTTGTGTTTCGTTCTTCTGCCTTTTCATTTTCTTCTTCTCCTCCTCCTCCCTCTCCACCTCCACTCCCTCCTCCTCCCCTCCCCCCTTCTTCGTCATCTTCCTCTGCTTCCTCATCATCATTTTCGTTTACACCACTACTTGTAACCCCCCCCTCCCAAATAGTGGTGTCCCCAAAATATGATTTGTTCTTGCAACAGAATTGCTTCTGATGTCTGCGGTGTAGTGTAACGGTTAGGCTCTTTGCTGCTGCACATGACATAACTTTGATTCCTTAGAGGTGGAAAGTATTTTTCAAGTATCTCTTGACTGTTGGCTGGGAGTCTGTAACCAACCAGCTCATCTGGAGTTGAACCAAACAGTCATTGTTGAAGCTACTTGCCTCCCAACATTTTCTATGAACTACAAAATTGTCTTCAATTTCCCCAGCCCACAGACGCAAGTCGCAGTGTGATATTGTCGACCCTGACGTACGGTCGGCCCTTGTTCTGCCAGATTTCTGCTTTGTCTATCACCCAAAGACACAGACATCGACGACGGAACCTATTCTGGAACAGTTTTCTGACTTGAGTCATCGTGGTATACAGTCAGGCCACGTCTGCCTTACCATCACGGACCGTTCTGCTTCGGAACACGGTTCTTGCTGTTCAAGCGAAAGTGATTCCTTTGGAAGTAGCCATACTGATCTTTCTTGTTCTAGCCAGAGAAAGGATAGCTTGGAGGAGGAAGATGACGACGCAGGAGATGAAGTGGACGGTGATTTATGTGTCAGAAACCAGGATGGTCACTTCAATGACGTGTCAGATTCGCAGCAGTGTGTTCATAAGGCTCACAATGGTGGTGGCGGATATGTGCAGCCTTATATATGTAACAAGGCTTCTCCGTTTTCTCCGAATGGATATCGCAAAGGTGTGGGAACAGACTGCTGTGTCATGCAGGATCGGAGAGTTGGCGGTGAGGGTTTCATCAGTGATTTCTTGCGGTCTCCTTCCATGCCCTCTCAAAATGACCAGGGAGTAAATGATTCCCAGTTCACCATCAGTATTGAAATTAAGGTGAGCATAATTGTTGTTTTATTTTGTCTGTTGGATAGGCGTGTCAAGTGTAGTGTTTAAGTTCCTCAGCTTATCATGTGAAAGATATGAATTTGTTCCCCCGTGAGGAAGTTAGTTTTTGGAAGCATCGGTGATCAGGCGTACCATTTCTATGGACATGCTTGAGATTTTAATGTTCCTGCAACTGTAATGAGCTGACTCTTACTCTACAAAATGTCTGTAAATGAATGATTCTAAAGCTTGTCATGGGATGTGCCATTAACTGAGATAGTTTCATTGTGGGCTACAGTGTGTTTGGCCCTGGCTGATTCAAAGTTGTTGGACTTAATTAGTTGAGGGGGAGTTTTCAAGTCCTCACATTGACTTGGCTCGATCCTTTTGGATGGATGTTTAATTTGGAAATCCCACCTAGATATTCTGACAGTGTTAAAAGTGGGCGTTAAACCCCACACCAGACCACACCACACCACATTCTACACCACACCACACCACTCCTACACCACACACACCACGCCACGCGACACCACATTACGCCATACCCCAAACCAAACCACACCACACTGCACTGCACTGCACCACATCACATCACACCACACCACGCCACGCCTTGCCATGCCACACCATACCCCACACACCATACCATGCCATGCCATGCCACACCATACTGTACACCGCCAAAATCTTCAGGGAGGATCTCTTCCTGGGCTGATATATGTCAGCACACTGTAGAATGGACCAACC